TCTCCCCGACTCAGCCAAATAGTTGAACTTGGTTGAGAAGTAGATTTAAATCTAAAAGACAGCGCATTTTTTAACGGAGGCAACTCAAATTATTGCTCCAGTTTAATTATAGAAACATCTGTATAAAGTACGTGGAAGAAAAAAAAAGAATTATCTACACTTTAAGAAAGGAGTTGGTATCATCAAACATCAAAAACTGCTCAAACAGGTATGTATCTAACGGCATATCAGAAATCTTTCTTTCTTTCCCCTAACCTTGGGGGTTTTTTTCCCTAAAGAAGCAAAAGGTTGCCAGTTTTCTCACTGATTCAAAATATATTTGACTAACCAAGTCTGTTTTTAAAAAAAGTTATCTTCTTACATCTTATGATAGAAATTATGAATGTAAGAATATAAAGGTTTAGATAAACTTAAGTTAAATCTTTATTATGACTAAATAATATCTGATCAATTCTTTTGCCTTTATTTAGTAAAACAAAGAGAAAAGAATAGTGGAAGAAAAAAGGGGAAAAAAGCAAATCAATTACAGCAAAATCATATATATAAAATTGCTTCTCACAGATGTGTATCTATGCATAAGTTTTACACAGCAATTCCAATAAACGCTAAACGTGTTACATGTAATCAGTCTGAGGTTTGTATGCATTATATCGCAATTTAATAGAACCGAACTTCCACATGGAAAGCAAACGATCATATTTCAGCAGTAGATTCTGCACTTTTATTTGAATTTTTGTTTTTGAGAACTGAGATTTCACAAAGCTGAAAAAAATATATACTTCAATTGGGGGAAAAAAAGAACAAGAGTTTTTGTCTTGTTCTTTCTTTACTAAAAGGGAAAAAAGCAACATAATAGTACAGAAGAAGAAGGGGGTGAAGGGCTTGGAAGCGAAATCCTATGAAGAATGGTTAAAAGAGCTGGGTACATTTAGCCTGAAGAAGAGAAAGCTACAGGGAGTCATGACTGTAATCGTCCAAGGTCCCTATCAACCACTTATGATAAACTCTTAGGTGATAAACACCTGAGTTTTTTGAATAAGACATTATCACTTGGGATAAAGTGAAAAATAATGGGCACACTGAATGGGGGGGTGTGCAACCTGCAGGCTGCGTGCAGCCCCCAACACCCTGAGATGACCCCACTGAAAATTGGTGACAAAATGGCTGATTTTGTTTCCACAAAAAAAGGTCGGAATGAAGTCAGGAGGCCTCCGGAAGCAACCAATCTTCTTTTTAAAAAATGCCCCAACTTATGCTACAGAAGTGTAGCCATTTTGCCAGTGAATTTCAAAAGCAGGAATCAGGACTGTTTTTCAGGATTTGGGAGAACACTTTGAAGGGTATGAATGGGAGCCATTTGCTTTCCCGAGGCTCCTGGTTACCATTTCAACTCCCCTAAATGCTCCGAATCAGCTGATATAGTTTGGGAAAATGTCACATAGTGAAGGCACTGTAGCAATCAATGACTTTCTATGGCCGTCCAGAACATTAGAAAACTAAATTATGCCCCCTGACCATTCAGAGTCTCCCATCTGTGGGAAGATGCACAAGCAGTAATCTGATCCTATTATGACTCTGGCTTTGCTTTATTAATTTATTTTACTTATTATCATAGATGCTTTATCCCTGATGTTGAATTACCATGGACATTTTACTTTACTGGATTTTTATTGTAAAATGCTGGGAATCCTTGGCAGATATGACAGTATACAAATGCAATAAACAAATAAATAATGCATTTTATGAAACTGGTGTCAAACAAACAAATATGCTGATCTGGATATTGTCTAAAGGGAAAATAGCATAAAGCTGATTGCTAGATCTGAAAAAGTTTTGTAAAGGGTGAAAAGTTGCATTACCTATTATTCATGGCCACAACTGGGTTTAAATGGAAACCGGGTAAGGAAAAAGTATTAAGATATACACTCATGTTTAAAATAACTTAAATATTTCTGTTTAATTAGTATGTCTCAAAATAGTATTAAGCTAATTACCTACTGTGGAAAAACAGTTTTTTGAAATATATGTGTGAATATGTGAAATATTGTGAGAGGTTTTTAGAGGTGAGCCAAATAATGTGATAGTTAATGGACAATGAAGACAAGTTTTAGGGAAAAGTGTAAATACAATCTGCTTTTGGAGTAAGATTCTGATTGTAGAAGCTCAAATTGTATTAGTTGGATTTGTTAGCAGGTGCTAAATAAGAATGTTGGAAATTAGCAATGGAGAGCCATCCTGTCTTTGTTAAGACTTAGGTAGTTCAAAGGAATGAGAAGGATCTTCTTAGGATCTCCTTTGAATCAATTAGGATCCTAAATGTTTCTCTTTATTAAGAAATAAGTGTATGTGTATGTACACACACAGACACACACGCAAATATACAATGTACATATTGTGCAGTGTGTATTGGGTTTGTGTGTGTGTGTAGGTTGTTCAGGTTTTAAAAAATAAAAATAGAAGTAGTATTCAGACTTTAAAATTGTCCTAATCTTTTCTAGGGTATTAACAGTTAGCCAGTAACTCTGCTGAATAGTTCTGAAAGTCAAATTGTAACAGAATCCCTGTACCTCCTCTCCAGATTGCCACCCTATTGCATAATGGCATTTTCCTAGAATATTTATTATAGGGTGAATTAGGAACAGCAATGGGATACAGAATATATAATTATACAAGAGTATTTCCAATGTCCAAGGCTGGGCAAATTTACTGGGGGAGCAGGAGAGAAAGAGACTTTACTCTCAACAAGAGGTTGATTGGTTGCACTACTGGTGTTCACAATTATATTGGCATACAAATAATTCTCACTGTTCATTTGGCTCCTGTTGGATTTTTCATCCACAACAAGTCAGAGAAATCCTGATTTCTGGAATACTTCATTGAAGTTTATCAGCAAACCTGGCTGTCTGCTAATAAGAGTGGCTTGTTTGACACGAAAGTTATTCGAAGCTTGCTGAGGTGATCTTCCCCTCTGGTGAAACATCTATAAAAGTTGCAATGGATGGCTTAATCATTCATAAATTAACTCTTTATCTTTTGACCAAATGCCTTGTTGTTTAAGCATCTCTGCTTTCAGTACGATTAAATACTGGATTGCAATTGACTCAGACTTCACCCAAAATGCCAGACTTTGATGATCTTCTGGAACACATTGGGGAATTTGACTTCTTCCAGAAAAGGGTCTTTTTTCTCATTTGTTTCCTCTCAGCTGCCTTTGCCCCAATCTATGTAGGAGTTGTTTTCCTAGGGTATATACCAGAGCACCGTTGTCGGAGTCCAGGAGTTAGTGAATTAAGCAGCCGGTGTGGCTGGACACTTGAAGAGGAACTGAATCACACTGTTCCAAAGGGGGTGATCAAAGAGGATACGTTCACCCCTCAATGCACGAGATACAATGTCAACTGGAATGAAAGTGGACTGAGCTGTACAGATCCCTTGGAAGGCTTCACCAGTCAGGAGAATAGGAGCCTTCTTGTGACTACCTGTCAAGAGGGCTGGCTTTATGATGCTTCAATCCTGTCCATTGTGAGCGAGGTAAGATCTTGCAGTTGTTTCAAATATATTAATTATAACATTCTGTTTTTTAAAATGTCTGCCATGTCATTTTTTTTTCACTTGGATTTATCCAGCAAGAAGATAAATGCATTTTTCCCATGGCTGCTGCAGAGAATTCTGGGATATGCATGCTCAGGGGTTAGGATTTGTAATATGTTAAAGAGCACTCTAAATTGATTTGTGTGTGTGTGTGTGTATTTGTGCATGTGTGTGTGTCTTCAAGTGAGTGTTGACTCCTGGCGACTGCCTGAACTAATCCTTAGAGTTTTCTTGGCAAGATTTTAGAACTGGTTTGTCATTGTCTGCTTTCTAAGGCTGAGAGGGAGTGACTGGCCCAAGATCTCCCAGCTGGGTTTGTGCCTAAGGCGGGACTAGAACTCATGGTCTCCCGGTTTCTAGCCCAGTGCCCTTAACCACTACAATAAACTGGCTCTCACTCCAGACTGTCCTTGCCAGAAAATATTCACAGCAACTCTCTTATCACTGCAGTGCTTCTAACTGAAGAAGAGTGATACACTGTAAAACAGTCTTTTCCCAACCTGGTATTCTCCAGATAGGTTTGGACTGCTCCACTTAGAACTTGGAAACTACTGATATAGGAAATTCAGTCACTGGTGCTTAAGTGTCCTTGATTAAGATAATGTTCTCTCTGTCTCTCTCTCTCTTTCTCCATCCATCCATCTAGCAGATTTTAGTTTTGATCAACTCAACTTCTATTTCTCCCCAACAACTAGCTGAGTGAGGTTGGGCTGAGACAGAGTGACTGGCCCAAACTCACCCAACCAGCTTTCATGCCTAAGGGATGAGCCTACAGTCTCCTGGTTTCTAACCCAATGCCTTAGCCTCTACGCCCCAGATGACTCCCTCCATATGCAGATAGAGGCCGTTGTACAAAACAGTCAGGCTGACTTCCTAATGAGGCATGTACAAGCCAGGGTTCCAACCAGTGTATCTGTGCTTGAGAATTATGTGAATGGTTAGGCCAGTATATGGTGCCCATGGGAGAGATGTCTAATGGATCTGCTTCTTTGTGTGTAGGGGTGATTTTTTAAAAAATGTATGAGTATTAGTATTATCCTACAGGGCTTCATGACTAGGTATACATTACAGTAAATCTGCATTACCATAGTCCACAAGTAAAAGATTGCAGCTGTGTTTTATCATGAGCAGGATCAGCTGGGGCTAGGAAGGCCTCTGCACAACTCCATCTGGTCCACCACTTGCACCCTGTCCTAGATCAGGGTAGGAGGGGGCAGCTTCAGACAGTCACTCATGCCCTAGTTACCTTGCAGCTTGACTACTGCAATGTTTCTACACGGGCCTGCCCCTTAAAGATCACCCAGAAGCTTCAACTGGTCCAGAATGTGGCAACATGAACAGTAATGGGCATGCCTTGGTATGCCCGTGTAACTGCTGCTGAAAAGTGTAACACTGATGCTGGGTTCAGCTGATTTCATTCGGATAAGTTTCACAGAATGTAAGTGTTGGCCATCCAGCTATTTTTAAAGACCTCTAGCGTAGGAGAGTCTTACCTCCTCAGGAGACAGTCTGGTCCATGGTAGAACAGTAATTTAAATCCACTTTCTCATCATGGCTTCTGGAACAATTCTGCCTCTTCTTCTACCCTTCATATACTTGAATCTAGTTATCATGTCTCCACATAATCTTCTCTTCTTGAAGTTAAACATACCCAGTGCCTCTAACTACTCCTTATACATTTTTCCTTCCATTTTTCCTTCCCCTGATAATCTTTGTAGCACTCCTCTGAACATGATCCAGTTTGTCAATGTCCTTCCTAAAATAAATGTGCTTTCACCAATATGGAATAGGGAGGAACAAAATCTCTTGATTTTGACACTATACTTCTCCTGATGCAGTTTTGGATTGCATTTGCTTTTTTAAAAACTGCATCACATTTTTGTCTCATGTACAGCTTGTAATATACCAAGATAAACACATCCTTTTCACATGCACTGTTGCCCAGTATGATCTTCCCAACCTATACGTGTGGCTTTGATTTTTCCTTCCCAAACATAGGACTTTGTATTTGACCCTGATGAAATTTATCTTGTTAGGTTTCTGTCCATTGTTCCAGCTTTTTAAGATTCTCCTGAAATTTGACACTGTCCTTTAAGTTGTATCTTCTGCAAATCTGATATTTTCTAATCCCTCATCCAAGTCATATATAAATATGTTGAACAGCACTCTATGACATACCATTCAACGCTTCCCTCCAGATATTGACATGCTTCCCTACTAAAATCACATGAGAGACTTTGTTGTATGCTTTGAGGAAGTCAAGGCACACTATGTCTACTGCATTCCCGTAACCAACTAAGTCATTCTAACCTAAAAAGAGATCAGGTTGGTATGGCATGATTTATTCTTGATAAATCCATGCGGACTTTTGCCAGATAATGCATTTTTAAAAAAATGTTTACAAATCAACTGTTTAATAATCTGTTCCAGAATTTTGCCCAATATTGACATCAAGCTGACACTTCTCCACACCACTTTTGATGATAGGAATAACATTTTCCCTTCTCCAATCCTTTAGTGCTATACCTACACTCCATGATGTCTGCAAGATCACAGAAAGGTGCTCTGAGATGACATATACACATTGCTTTAAGACTTTCAGAAGTACTTAGTATGCACTTGGAGACTTAAATGCTTTCTAAGCATCTCCTTAGGTTGCCACTCTCTCCTAGCATCAATTGTTCTGCTTAGTACCACTTGGGGAGAAGAATGAAGCAAAGCTTGGTCCCTCCCATCCCCAGCCTTGGTAAGGTAAGGGACTGCCTCCTCTGCCTCCTGTTCAGCTCCACTCACCTGCCTATCTCCCCACCCCCACCTCTGCCTTTTGGCCACTCTGCAGAGTGGCACTCCTTGGTGGCAGTGGTGGTGAAGTAGAGGCCCAGGACCTTCAGCAGTCTCAGCTGGCCATCATCCGGAAGATAGGAAGGTGGGGGGAGTTGAAGTACCCCTGTGGTCGTAAGTGTGGGCGAGCTGCCAAAAGCCTGAATTTTGATCACATGACTGCAATGGCCATAACTTCTGGGACCAGGTGTAAGTACCATTTGTTCAGCATCACTGTAACTTCAAACAGTCGCTGAATGAATGGTAATTAAGTGAGGACTACCTGTAGTTCCACCCTACTCTGCCTGGTAAGACCCTATTTTGGGAATTGTGCCACAGTTCAATAAAGATTGACAAATTAGAGCAAGTTCAAAGGAAGGTGACTAAGATAATGAGAGGTCTGGAAACCAATCCCTATGAGGAACTGTTAAAAGATTTGGATATGTTTAGGCTACACAAAATATGATTGAGGGGAAATATGATAGTCTCCAAATATCTGAAGAGCTGTCACATAGAAGAGATAGTGGCATTATTCTCTATTGCCCTAAAGGGCAGGATGAGAACCAGTGGGTTAAAATGACAAGAAAAGAGTTCAGGCTGAATTTCCTGACTGTACAAGTCACTTGATGGTGTGAGTTCTCCTTTGCTGGAGGTCTTCATACAGAGGTTAGAGTGGTCATATGTCAGAGATGCTGCAGTGCACCCTGCAACAAGCAAGGATTGGACCACATGACCTCTACTGTCCTGTCCAATGATATATTCAGGGGGAAAAGAAACTTTTTCTTAGGTGTTAATTTATAATGGAAGAAATTTCACTATATTAAGTGAATCCATACAAACAGTCCATGGTCCCTGTGGTCACATTGATTATAATTTCTGGAACTGTAAGTCTTGACTCTCAAATAGCTTTTCTTGGGGGTTTTGAGTTTGTCACAGATAGTCATATTTTCTATTTCTCATTCTCATTATAGCATTTGCTCTTGGAATGAATGGCTAAATCTGACTTAAAAAAAAAAATACAGGTAGCTCTTGCTTAATTACCTAATTGGAACCAGAATTTCTCTTGCTAAGCAAAATGGTCACTAGGTGAAACATCACATGACTGCACTGCTTAGCAATGGCAGTTCCGGTCGTCCCGGTTGCAGTTGTTAGGCCAGGACCACACCGCTGTTAGGCAAGGACCTCACGCTTCTCCTGTCCTGCCATGCTCGACTCCACTTCAGCTCCCCCCCACCTGCCTATTCCCCCCCCCAGACTCTGCCCTTTTGGCTGCCCTTACTCCACAATCCCTGCCACCCCCTGCTGTCCCCAGCGGACCATCGCCATCTTCTTCTTCCCGCTGTTGATGAGACATGCCTGGCCTGGCCTGGCCTGGCCTGGCCTGGCCTGGCCTTTCGTGAGGCAGCTGCTGGCCACGTGAGGCCTTCCCAAGGCCTGCATCATCACTTGGTGTTCTCTTTGTAGAGTGAAATTTCCCAAACAAATAATGTCTTCCTCTGTCTTCTCCAACTGCCTGAATGCTGGTGGAAAACTAAAGATCTGCCCTGTTCAGCAATAATTCAATAGAATGCAATCAAAATAACAACATTCTGGAGAAGTTATTTTCCTAAATTTGGAGCAGAACAGTTGCTAGGAGAGGTTGTGGGAACAAATCTGGTTTATTTTGGTTTTGCTCCGTTTCTCTTTTCATTGTAGATTTCTCTGTGAACAGAACTTAACTGTATTTTAATGATTAGAACTCTATGATTTTACTCCTGGTTTTGTCTCCTCAGTTTAACTTGGTATGCGGAGATTCCTGGAAACTAGATGTGTTTCAGTCAGCTGTGAATGCTGGATTTCTGGTTGGATCTGCATTTGTTGGCCACATAGCAGACAGGTAGGTGCAGAGCAAAAAAGGACCTTCTCAATAACCAACATCATTCAATTTTGCTCAAACCAAGTAGGAATAATGGAAAGCAAGGATTGTTGGAAATGAAAAGTTGTTCTGGAAGTGGATGAAGAGGACTAAACTACCTCTTCTAGAGTGGATGGAATTAAAAATAAAAGTGAAGAAATTACTTGGGATGCAACTGAAGTGAAGCAATACTGGAAGGAATGTTTTAGCGATTGGTGCCGGAATGATAGTGATATGTCAAAGAATGGAGTTGAAACAAATGCTGGAAATATTTCTGTCCAAGCTGGGATAATGCTGAAAATCTTAAAAGCTATGAGAATGCTGAAAAATTGGAAGGCTGCAAAAATGGTGCCTCTAGAGAAATGTTAAAATATGGGTAAGGTTTGCTGATGGAGCATTTGTGCACCTATTCCTGGTTGTTTGGAAATTGCTGTTCCTAAATATAATGGGAAAGTAGGAAGCATGAAGACAACAAAAATGAAGGAGGGTTAGTTTGTTGAGGGTATGGGGAAGGTGTATGACAGCATTCTGACTGAGTGGATACAAAAGTGATGATTAGGGACATTTGGGAAATACAGCATGACTTTAACCTGGGCAGGAATTCTGCCAAAAGGATTTCTGCTCTTCTGCAGGTCACTGAGAAGCATCTGGGTATGACCAAGAAAGTGAGCCGATTTAGAGAAACATGATAAAATGAATAAGCTTGAATTATGGAATGTTTTGTGAGAGTATAGAATTGGAGTTTGATTGCTGAATGCAATTACACGTGGCACATGATGGAAGTAAAGCATACGTGAGAATAAATGGAATGTGCAAGGAATAGTTCAACATTGCACAGGAAGTTAGATTAGTATCTTTGGCTGTTTAATGTCTTTATGGATAAATGCATAAGCAACGTTTGTGGTGGTGATGATGGAAGAACGTTGGTTGGGGAAATGAATTCCGGTATACTTTTGTATGCTGTATTGTCAGCTAAGACCCTGAATGATTGCCATGAATGTCAACTAGATTGCATATGAAACAAGGCGCACGGTTTTGAAAATAACTTTTCAAAGACAAAGGCAATTGTGTTTGACAAGGGAAATGTGTTCTACTTGCACTAGTTTTTTGCAGTTTATGAGAGTGGGCATTCATACACATAGACACACAAACTTACCTGCATAAGATAGGCTTTCACAGCTGGTGTCCGTCAACCAGTGATGAGTCTGGGGCTGAATGGCCAGGCTCTGGTTTTCTGGTGCTGTGGCTCACTCTGTCTCTGAAGATGCCAGCCACACCTGCCAGCAAAACATCAGGATGCCAGAAAACTAGACCTTGGCCATTCCATGGGAAAGCTGATCTCTGGCTGATATTTGTACAAACTCATACACACGCCCATACTGAAGAACTGAAAATTTGATCATCCAAGACAGATTACAAAACAAAGCTTAATTGAGTACAAAATACATGTTTTTACTAGGTCTCTTTGCCTTTAACACTGCTAAATCAAATAAACTATGATGGTGTTACAATTTTTAAAAGCTAGGTGGTGTGAATATGTATTGTTATTACAGTTTGCTATGCATACTTATATGAGAAGGAAACATCATACTTCCAGTTAATACCTATTTTCGCAAGTATTGTAAAAGAACAGAATAATGGACTAATATACAACTACAGGTGAAGTGCTGTAATATAGAGGGCAGACCTTCTTCACTGGAAGTTTGGAACACAAATACATGTAGGGTTGATGTCTTACATACTTGCTAACTATTCTGAATTGGCCTGGACAGACAACTGAGAGAAACAATCTTGCAAGGAATTATCCTGCAAAAAGTCCCAAGATTCTCAAATGAGGCTTCTGGTGGGAGGATAAACAGGGACTGAAATCCAAACTGGCACTCAGATTTTGGCTCGCAAAGACCCTGCTCTGTATACTCTGTATACCTGTGGGTACTTTTGCTGTGTGCCTTCTTCCTTGTTAAGTTTCTTAAAGTTTGTTTAAAGTTTGTTAAAGAGCCCAGTGGTAGAAAGATGCTTTCCTCTGGCAGAGGAGAGGAGAGGATAAATAGAATAAAGCTCTGTTTATGTTTTCTTTCCATTGTGCTTAGCTGTTGAATATTATGTTGTTTTCCAGTGCATGACTCTCAATAGGATTTGTTTGTTTAGCTGAGAGCAACAGGGATTCGACCATTCCTAGCCCGAAGCAGCTAAAAATGTTCCCGTTCCTGCCTCTCACGTTTCCTCCCAAAACTGCAACATCCCTCTAGTCTTCTTTTAAAAAGCTTTACAGAATTCCTCCCTTCTTCAAAGTCTTACCCTAATAATCAATTTTTCATCCAACTTTTAAAAATAAACATACATATACAGTATACATGCCATCATGCTATCCCTTTTCAAGATAAGCGACGTTTGGCAAAGCACAGAAAAGTAAGAAGTAAGAAGAAAATATTTTTATCTGTAGCTGGCAAGGAAACATAATAGAAAGTGCACAACATATTTCTTTCTCACTGTATTCCTATTTGTGGCAAGCATTTTGCTAGATTAGGAACAGGTGACCCATGGCCCTTATGAATTCTGAATGTAGGCAACAACATGGTAGAATTTCAATGTCATGATTTTTGTTTTTTGATGTCCCCCCCCCAAAAAATAAGGTGGGAATTGTGAATTGCGATTCAGGTGACAAACTGCTCCCATTCTACTCCCAAACCTAAAAAAAAAAGGGGGGGAGCTAAATTGTCTCCCAGCTTTTAACCATTTGTGGGTAGTGATTTAGGAGTGAATGATTTCCATTCCCACCCCTAAATGCCCAAAAAGAATAAACAAACCAAAAAAAAGGGTCAACATATTTTGTTCTGCTCCTTATGGTGATGCTCACCTGCCGCTCTCTGGAAGATCAAGAGGCTGAGGTTTGGCCCCGACCCCTCAAATATTGCCTATCTTTGTGTTATTTGTTTTACTAAACTTGTGGAAAATGCAGTTAACATGGTTTCGACATATATTTTGATTTGGGATTAAGGCAAGATTTTTCTTTCCTAGTGCCAAACATTGCATGAGCCTGTTGCTAATCCCTACTTTAGATCTATTCCGTAATGGCTTGAAACCTCTTGAAAAACAGAACACGTTGATCTTGACAGATTGATGGGTATCAGGATTACAAGTATTTTTCAGCTTCTCTTCCCAGCTTTGTAAAGTTTTGCTATTCTTAAACCTGGTGAATAAATGAAATAAAACCAGACTGAAGATATAAGTGTCTCTCAGAGATGAATGATAGAAAATTGGACCTGTGGTGGTTTATATTGCTGTGAACATTGCCATCTTGTGTCCAGCTTCACTACTGTTAATCAAACACTATACGTTGCAGGCTGCTTGCTATTGTTGAAGAACATCTACTCCTTTACAGCATGTGACTCTGCTAGCCGCTGGCCAGAGCTTTTGGCAGCTGGAGGCAGGGATGAGAGAAAGAATGACCTGTCAGGCACAGCCTTTTCTGCCTGCGTGCTTTCTTGCTTCCACGTTTCATGATTGTTTAACCAACGAGCTGCAGTTCTTCTCAACAAATTGGGAAGGCTCATGATAACAACTTTGTAGGAGCTAAATAGCTTTGAGTTTAGTCAATGCCTTGATGGAAAATGTAGCCTTGTCTGATAAAAGTCATAAAACAGCTGGAGGTGCCAGAGGGTGGGTTGCTTGCAGCAAGGTAGGAGAAGATATCAGAATAAACACAAAACAAGAACCCAAATCACCCGCAGGCTGCTCCTGAGCCTCCCTTATTGTGACTTTCTGAGTCCTCTGTTGTCACACTATCAAAAATGGAAGTGTGATTTTTCATAGGTTCTGTTGAAAAATGAAATATAATCCAGATGATGGTGATGTTGTATGATTTTGATGACATTGCTGGAGAGCCTTTGATGACAAACATAGTAAGAGTAATAATTTTAGAAGTATGGTCCAGCTAAGCTTACCAGATATCTGAACAGGCAAAGGAAGACATGGACAACTGGAAAAGAGGACAAATGGGGGGAAAAGGAGAACGCACTAACTGTTTAACTTTCCTTGTATCTGCGACAAAAATTATAGCAAAAAAAACCTGCAAAAAAAATGTGCTTAGGCCTACATATATATGAAATTACCTTTTCCAGCATCAAAAAGGCTGGTTTTTCCATTGCAATATTTTTCCAACAGATCTTTATTTTCAAGAACATGCTAGTGATAATATCGAGTTGCCTGCTAGACAGAGGACCTGAGGACAAGAAGGAGGCACGTCCTCCTTTTGCTGAATGTCTGGTGGCCAAGACTCTTGTATGGCCTCTCTTTGCCTCTTCCAGCTTTCTTTGTGTTCTATAAGAACACGTCTAGATTAAAAGGGATAACTACAAAAGTTCCTCAGCTTCAATCTGTTCTAATATCTTGATTGGGTTTTTTACATGTTCCTCATGCCTCTTTCTTTAAAGAACTTGCCAATAATGCAAACAATTTCCCTCATAGCCTCAACAGCACATGCTTACCATAGTTTTATAATTATGAGCTAGCTATATGACCATTGGATTCAAATAGATGACAGCAAAGCAGACTACAAATATGTAGCCAGGTCCCTATCAATATGGTATCCCTGATTTAACTGCACAGAGTTGCTGGGAGCTGGACTGCATATATTGTTCTGGTTGTTGTTTCATCTTCATCTATTTTTATTCATGCAATACAAGAAAATGTCATTGACTATGCGAAAGCCTTTGATTGTGTGGATCACAACAAACTGTAGCAAATTCTTAAAGAGATGGGGGTACCAGACCACCTTGCCTG